GTCCTAAGAAGACGAATTATTATCAAGCCTTGTTAAGACAACCAACCGGAGGGTTGAATTTTTACATTAAAGGTTGAAATTGGGTTAACCTAAAAATGAACAAAGTTTTAGATTTAAAAAATAACTTATCTAAAAGGTACTTACACATTTCAAAAGAACGGGGGGGAAAAATAAACTTATAAAAGTATTGAAACTATTAAGATGACTACATATTTAAATTATTTAAGTAAAGTTTAAATTCGAGATCATGCAGACGGCATGTCTCGAAATGATTGACAATTCGGTATAAGAGGAAACTGACATATCGATAAATTTTGAAAAGATGTATAGGGTGAACTGAAATTATTGTAAAAACAGAAGATTGTTGTTAAAGCCGAGAACTTCGTTAAGAGAGAGGTGTGGGTTCTTTTTAACTTGGTGGTAAATTTCTTTCAATTCCAGAAAGTTCAATCTTATACCTTTATTACATATATGCAGAATTTCGAAATCGGTGTTCGGATTGAAGGAGTGGCCCGTTTCTAGGATGTGTAAAGCGAAGGAGGATTTTATTGAGGAGGAATTATTGTTTTTAATACATTGAAGATGTTCTTGAAACCTAGTAGAAAATTTTCTCCCTGTTTGGCCAATGTAGGAAGATTTGCAGGTGGGGCAATTAAGTTTGTAAATGCCGGATTTGTCTATTAGAGGGATTTGGTCTTTTGTGTGTGAAAGAACTGAATTTAGATTGCTGTTGGCTGTAAAGATTATGCGGATGTTGTACTTTCGAAAAGTGTTTTGAAAACTATGAGAAAATTCTCCGATATAAGGCAATACTTGATATGTGGTTGGAGTATCTACTTGTAAGAGGGATAAACTGGTGGTATTGTGGATCTCGGATTTATGAAGGAGTTTGAATTGGAGATTTTGAATCAATTTTTAACGGGTAATCATTTTGGGCGGCTAATTGGTAAATAATCTGGAGTTCTGCGTTGTATTTGGCTTGGTTTAAAGGTAAATTAAAAAGTCTGTGAAAATAGAATCTGAATGCTGCAAGTTTATGTTGGAGAAGATGAAAGGAGGTGAAGTGGATTATATTACTGGTGGTGGTGGGTTTTCTATAAATTCCAATATCGAGTTTTTGGCCTAGATGTTCAATTGAGAGATCTAAAAAGTTGAGGGTTTTGTGTGACTCTAATTCAAGGGTAAATTTTAAGTTTTTATGTAAGGTGTTTAAGATGTTAAAGCAATTGTTTAAATCGGAGTCATTCCCTTCAAATATCACAAAGATGTCATCTACATAGCGTTTATAAAATTTAAAGTGTTTCTTGATGGTGGGGTTGGATAAGAGTTTTTTGATTTCTAGATTTGATAAGAATATTTCAGCAAGTAAAGGTGAAAGGTTATTCCCCATAGGGAGACCGGATTTTTGTGTATATTGTTTTTTATTGAAGAAAAAGAAATTTTGGTTCAAACATTGATCTAAACATTTGATTAAAAATTCTGAAATTTGATCTGAGGCATTAGAATCTGAAAGTAAATTTTGAACTATAGATCTGCACTCTCCGTATGGGACGCTAGGAAACAAATTTACTATATCAAAGGAAATGAGGCGTTGTGATTCTGAAATCTTGGTTTTTGAAAGTTCATGAGCAAATTGAATGGAGTTCGTTATTGATTGTGGGGAGGACCATGGTAAAAGGGTTGTCAAATACGAGTTTAACCACGTAGATAGTTTGTGTACTGGTGTGTTGGTAAAAGAAACGATGGGTCGTATCGGGTTGTTGGGTTTGTGGATTTTTGGAAGAGCATACAATCTGGGGATGGATGGATTCATAAGAAGGAAAAACGTGTAATGAAGGTTGAATTCAGTTTTGATGAAGTCCTTATAAGAGTGAATAAACTTTCTGAAATTTACTGTAAAGTTATTAAAATTTATCTTAGTTACTGAAATCATCCCCTTTAAGGAAATTCTCCACTTTACCGACATAATCTTCTTTATTCATGATTACAAGAGCATTACCTTTGTCCGCTTTGGTAAAAATGAGGTTGTTATCAATTGATTTTGATTTGATGGAAGATCAAATCAAAAAAATCAAAATCAATTGATAACAACCTCATCTTTACCAAAGCGGACAAAGGTAATGCTCTTGTAATCATGAATAAAGAAGATTATGTCGGTAAAGTGGAGAATTTCCTTAAAGGGGATGATTTCAGTAACTCTAAGATAAATTTTAATAACTTTACAGTAAATTTCAGAAAGTTTATTCACTCTTATAAGGACTTCATCAAAACTGAATTCAACCTTTATTACACGTTTTTCCTTCTTATGAATCCATCCATCCCCAGATTGTATGCTCTTCCAAAAATCCACAAACCCAACAACCCGATACGACCCATCGTTTCCTTTACCAACACACCAGTACACAAACTATCTACGTGGTTAAACTCGTACTTGACAACCCTTTTACCATGGTCCTCCCCACATTCAATAACGAACTCCATTCAATTTGCTCATGAACTTTCAAAAACTAAGATTTCAGAATCACAACGCCTCATTTCCTTTGATATAGTAAATTTGTTTCCTAGCGTCCCATACGGAGAGTGCAGATCTATAGTTCAAAATTTACTTTCAGATTCTAATGCCTCAGATCAAATTTCAGAATTTTTAATCAAATGTTTAGATCAGTGTTTGAACCAAAATTTCTTTTTCTTCAATAAAAAACAATATACACAAAAATCCGGTCTCCCTATGGGGAATAACCTTTCACCTTTACTTGCTGAAATATTCTTATCAAATCTAGAAATCAAAAAACTCTTATCCAACCCCACCATCAAGAAACACTTTAAATTTTATAAACGCTATGTAGATGACATCTTTGTGATATTTGAAGGGAATGACTCCGATTTAAACAATTGCTTTAACATCTTAAACACCTTACATAAAAACTTAAAATTTACCCTTGAATTAGAGTCACACAAAACCCTCAACTTTTTAGATCTCTCAATTGAACATCTAGGCCAAAAACTCGATATTGGAATTTATAGAAAACCCACCACCACCAGTAATATAATCCACTTCACCTCCTTTCATCTTCTCCAACATAAACTTGCAGCATTCAGATTCTATTTTCACAGACTTTTTAATTTACCTTTAAACCAAGCCAAATACAACGCAGAACTCCAGATTATTTACCAATTAGCCGCCCAAAATGATTACCCGTTAAAATTGATTCAAAATCTCCAATTCAAACTCCTTCATAAATCCGAGATCCACAATACCACCAGTTTATCCCTCTTACAAGTAGATACTCCAACCACATATCAAGTATTGCCTTATATCGGAGAATTTTCTCATAGTTTTCAAAACACTTTTCGAAAGTACAACATCCGCATAATCTTTACAGCCAACAGCAATCTAAATTCAGTTCTTTCACACACAAAAGACCAAATCCCTCTAATAGACAAATCCGGCATTTACAAACTTAATTGCCCCACCTGCAAATCTTCCTACATTGGCCAAACAGGGAGAAAATTTTCTACTAGGTTTCAAGAACATCTTCAATGTATTAAAAACAATAATTCCTCCTCAATAAAATCCTCTTTCGCTTCACACATCCTAGAAACGGGCCACTCCTTCAATCCGAACACCGATTTCGAAATTCTGCATATATGTAATAAAGGTATAAGATTGAACTTTCTGGAATTGAAAGAAATTTACCACCAAGTTAAAAAGAACCCACACCTCTCTCTTAACGAAGTTCTCGGCTTTAATAACAATCTTCTGTTTTTACAATAATTTCAGTTCACCCTATACATCTTTTCAAAATTTATCGATATGTCAGTTTCCTCTTATACCGAATTGTCAATCATTTCGAGACATGCCGTCTGCATGATCTCGAATTTAAACTTTACTTAAATAATTTAAATATGTAGTCATCTTAATAGTTTCAATACTTTTATAAGTTTATTTTTTCCCCCCCGTTCTTTTGAAATGTGTAAGTACCTTTTAGATAAGTTATTTTTTAAATCTAAAACTTTGTTCATTTTTAGGTTAACCCAAATTTCAACTTTAATGTAAAAATTCAACCCCCCGGTTGGTTGTCTTAACAAGGCTTGATAATTAATTCGTCTTGAAACTTAGGACAACCTTTCCGTTTTAACCACCCTTCAGGTTTTTTCACTTGGCTTCGGCCAGTTAATAATTAAAAAAACAACATGTTCGTCTTATCCGTCTTCAACGTTTGTAATTTACCGTTTTCCTGTTAACTTTCACAGTAAGTACTAGCTCTTAATGTTTTCAAATTTGCTATATTGTGATACACTTCTAGTCGCCTGATGATGGCAGTACGCCGAAACTATAGTCGCTGTTATTTTTAAAAACTTCAACGAATAAAACTATATGGGGAAGGTTTAGAGATTTTTGATAACATAATATATTTCAACCCCCATTTCGAGGAACGATGGATCCAACTCAAAAAAACTTTTTATGTAGATAAAATATGCTCATCAGTACACGAAACCTTTTAACGCCTGTATAAAACAGCCAACTGAAACGAGCAATTTTATTGGCCAAGCTGGTACTTCAACTGACGCGCGACACGTTCCCACATTTTCTAAATGAGATTGTTTACAAAACAAACACAAAAGCGTAGCGGTTCCTCTAAACTGGCCGAAATATGTTTCGAGATAAGAGAAAAAAAATGTTGTCGGGGGGATGCCAAAACCCGAGCTTGTCGAGGGAAATTTGCTGTGACTAAGCTCGAATAAATTGTACATTAACTAGTTTTATTGCTAGAGATAATAGTGAGGGAATTCACGTGGTAGCAACCGCGCAATGAGTACGACGAAACAACCCCTTAAAAGTAAAAGATATACTGCAGTTTTTGTTCCAATGCTTGGCAGTTTACTTGATTTGTGGCTTTCCAAAGAATAGGAAATGTATAGAAGTTTTTCTGTTGAACATTCTTATGTTAATGTAAGATCTATATTTCTTACTTCAATGTGTCTTTTATTGCTTTCAGATGAAGTGGTTAGCCTTTTGTGTATTGACCGTCGTCCTTGTCACTTTGGCAGTAGCCGATGGTGAAATTTGGGAAGAAGACGATCATGAAGTTCTTATTAGGAGCGAACGCGGAGCAAAAAATAGAGGTAGGTGCGGTGATTTATTTTATCAATTTGCTTTCACCTTTTCAGCGAAACATTTGCTTTGTGTCAGCGATTATTAAAATTAGGGTTACATCTGCACTCAAACCCAACAGCCTTTTCCGCTGAGAGCTCACATAGCGTAAATATTGGCGTTTCCAATAAAAAACCGCTACTTTTCATGTTTTCTTGCCACTAAACATTTCAAGCTCAGGATGCACATCAGTTACAAAGTTGGGAAAAACAATTCCCGATGCTAACAAATCGAGAGCTCGCAGCGACTGTACATCACTTTTATATGCATTAAGTTTCCATTTGGAAGTTTAATATTTTTCCTAGCTTTAAAAGAATCCCTCATTTCATATTTTTTAATTTTGTTAATGGAAGATTGGACTTCCATTTTTTTCTATGGGACATATATTTCATAAAGTCGGAAGCTCGCGCTACGAATAAAAAAAAACTGTTTGAGAATAATAGTGTATTTCACAAAAGCTAAAAACTGCAATGCTCTCGTTAAGGACGAACAAAAAGGGGAACTTTTTTTATAAGACTCGTATTAAAAAGTCGGCATGTCTAAATCTAAAGATTGAATTTTATGAAACTTTGGAAACCTCTCGCTTTTTATGATCGTAAAACTTTGTTATGAGAAAAGTCACATTTGAAGACTTTTAATTGAGATGATTTTTTTTCGGTTACTTATTCGTCTTGGCCGCAATTTCCACGTGCTTGATCTAAGATGTATGTGTCGTCATTTCTAGTAGGTTTGTTCTTTTCCAATAAACGTAGATGTACTACTGCCACTTTCTCTGCTGTAAAGTTTCCTACAGCTTTTTTTTGGAAATGTCTCTAACGTAAATTGTATTACGCGATTAATTTATAACGACTAATTAACAATAAATTTATAACAGTCTTGAAATGAATTAATTTATAACAATTAAAATATTATTTATCACTCACAAATGCAGAATTTATAGCAGCGCGAACTATTTATTACTTCGGCGTTAAAATTGGAACTGTTCTGAAACGCAATTCGATTTGCGTATATTAATCCAGTTAAATTGTATTTTTACCAGGAAAGTTGTGGGGTAGTTTTGATTTCCTTGATTCTATATGTTTTTTGGGGTGCGGAATCCGAATCTGAGGTTTGCCAACAAAATTTCATGACGCAACATTGAAAAAAATACAAAAGAAGTTGAAAAAGATATTTTTTTGGCAATTTTGTGCTTACAACTTGAAAACTATCAACTTTTCGAAAATAACCTTCCTATTCAAAATGAAAGTACATAAAATTTCCTACAGACCCCACTATTTACTTTTTTTCCTCGATAAACCGTTCGGGCTCAAGCGCCAGTTGAAAACTGGCATATTTCGGCTGTCTCCACAAAACATAGTTTTTTCGCACTAAAACCCTAAATTAATATTAAGCGTTGTCAATAAGTGAATTCCTTGCATTTACCTAGCATTATTTGAATTTTATATGTAAGGGTGGTTTTTTCTCATTTTCATAACGTTCAAGGTGTTTATTGTAGTCCAGAATTGTATGAAAAGTTAATTTCTAACGAGCAACAGTATATCATATTATTATATTATTTATAATATATAATACTTATATTGTGCTATCTAAAACTATTCCCACTCTCTTCCGAACCAGATAAAGAAATCACAAAACCCTACCGTAGCATGTTTGGATAATTATTGTTGAATTTGGGAAAGTGGCACTGTGGTCATTATTAATTCAAAAAATTCAAATGGCAAAAGGGGTATATTGATTTCCTATTCAACGGCATTATCCCTCTTGCTCCGGTGTTCTGAAGAGTGGGAGAGTTTTCTACCAGACGAAACAGTTTGAGGAAACCCGTAGACAATGAAAAGTACGGATTTATATTTGCACAGAATAATAATAAAATAATAATAAAAGATGAGTATTTGCGGAGGGTCGCGACATTTACAAACAATGTAGAAATTCTTCTCCTCCACATTTTATATCAAGCCAGAACCTGTGGGAGCACTATCTTATTGAATATTGCTCTTATTCTGACATTCTCCCCTCCTCCCATTACATTTTGATTGTTGTTGTGGAGGTGTAGTTGACTAAAACCCTTCTTGACACAGGAATTCTTGCGTCCAAATTCTCACAATCGTCAATTGGTATAGACTGATGCTTATTTTTAAAGTAAATTAAATAAAAGAACGTTTTATGTACAAAGGAGTACGAGGAGAATTATTTTTAAATTTTACAAGGGATGTGGTACATTATTAGCAATTGAAAGGGGTGCGAAACGCCGAGTTACAGTAATTTAATTTTAAGCAATTGCTTTCTGAAATTCCAGCGTGTAATCTTCGTCAGGGATTTACTTGCGCTGTACCCCCAACGCCAGATTAGTGGTGGTATCTTTATAAAGTCTGTTAATCTGTTTAGAAGTTGTTTTCGTTATCTTCCACCCTTAACTCTATTAACCATTATAGTGGTCAAAGAGTCGTTCAGTCTGGTGCTTGTAAGTGATGACGGGATTTGAAATCTTTGCCTTCATTACATTTCCCTTCCATCTGTGCCCACGCTGCTCAAGGGGGAGAAATACGTATACGTGCTTAGAGATGAGTATCGATTTTACACATTGCGACATAAAGGAAGGTCCATTTCGTGCGGGAATTAATTATTATTCACATATTCGAATTCGCAATTTAGGTTTGCTATGGTAATTTAGTCAATAGACAATTATGAAGAGAATCCACCCTAAAGTTAGTCTGCTACTAATTTTAGTATGGTTTACCCTACATTGTAAACTGAGCACATTCGTATTGTAATGTTTATACAAGCCTTTCGCATTCTTACGAATGAAAGGGAGCAATAATTGAATTGGAGGGGATTGGCAGCCTTATCTCCCAATATAGTGCTTGTTCTAATTTTAAAAGAAAGCATAATTTATGGGCTCCCTTTTTCATTTCAGAATCGTTTTTCTAATGGAAATCTTACTCGATCCTGCCCTTTTTCAGTGAATATAATAATAATAATAATAATAATGTGTCTTTATTAGAATAACGAGTGGCATTTAGGTATTATTATAAACATGTAATTAACAAGTTTACTCGTTAATCTAATGAGGCGAAGTTCAGATGCTTTGGTACAAAGAAACCGCGCATCTGCTCTTCCACTTAACCCCTTTAGATTACATTACTTAACGATAACGATAGTGGAAAATTATAGTTATAGTAGGTGGATGAATAAACAAAAAATAAAATTTAAATAAAAAATAAAAACATTATGTCTTACGCTAAATGAACCAAAAATCAATATAAGGAAATCAGATATAAATGATGGATGTGTACAAAAAGAAATCAAACAGGAGATGTAATATCGTACAATTTATATCAAAGAGGATGACATTAATATAAAAAAAAAATGAATTAAAGACTCATGTTTTGTCTATCCAGTGTAATTTTAAATAATTTAGTTTTAAATGAAACCATCCCAAGCATTTTAACATCAGTAGGCAGAAGATTGTATATTTTTGCAACGTTATAAACATACGATCGTTCGAAAAACTTGATTCGATGGAGAGGTGGAGTAATTAGTTGATGTAATCTAATGTTAGAGCTAAATTGAATCTTCTCGTACAGATACCTAGGCATACAATTGGTAATAATACTATGAAATAGAGTGGCAGAGTGCAGGTATCTCCTGTTTCCCATATTTAGCCAGCCGACTTCTTTTATCTTGTGAGATATGCGTTCATATTTTTTTACACCAAAAATTAAACGTAGGCACGAATTTTGAATTTTTTGTATTCTGTCAGTATCACTCCTGTCAAGGCAAGGACCATACACAGAGTCGCAGTAATTAAAATTAGATAAAACTAAGGACTCGCACAATAGCACCTTTAGATGATAGCTTAAATACTGCCGATGGTTAAAAATTAACTTTAAATTGCCAAACGCCCTACGACTAATGGCGGTAATATGCTGTTTAAAGCGCAAATCGCAGTCCATCCACAAACCCAAGTTTTTTACACACTGTTTTGGTATTAGAACCATGTCTTTAATTTTAATTGCTAAATTATTAATATGATCAGTTCTGGTTCTACGTGGACCAAAAATAATGAAGGACGATTTTAAAGGGTTAATTCGTAGTCCATGTAGTTCAGACGTATGAACTATACGTTTAATATCTGAGTTTATATAACAATATAGACCTTGATTTTTGCATAATTTGTCTTTTAGTACCCAAAAATATAAATGGATTAGAGTCATTGAGCATTTTTTTCAAAAAAATAAAGGGTGCATCGAGTGTATGAGTTCCCTCATGATCTTCTACTCTCTTTGCTAGATTCTGATTTCTAATAGAAGCCTCCGTGCCCTTTTTCAACGATTGTAACTTTTTTCCCTAATACACCTCTCCTCTTTCCGCGTTTTTTTCTATTGGAAACACTTAGTCGGTCATTCCCTTTTTCAACGATCCAGTTATTTTTGTTCCAAAGGGAAAGCCCTTTCCTCATAGTTCTCTCCTATAGTTTCCCAGATCCACCACAAACCCACGTTTTTTTATAATGTAGTCTATGAGGCCCTTTTTGACAAGTATAACTACACAGCGCTTAATATAGTTTTTCTAAAATCATAATTTATGGGATCGTTCATTTTCATTTTCGAACCGTTGAAGGGGAAAATGGCAACATACATACACACAAAATTTTGGAATGAAAACTGGTCATAATGGTATACTACATTGTTGAGATATATGGTATAATTAAAGTATAAAAGCAATAGCGATTAATCACTTGCAGTAGATACGTAGGTACACTTTCTCTTGTTTAAAATGAACCTGATTGGCACTGCGACAACTGATAAGAGTAAATTTGAATAAATTTATCTTCAGTTAGTCACCAATCGCTGTTGAAATTAGACGTGTCGTGTGTATAATAGTTCTGTAACGATCACTGGGCCCATTCCATTGAAAGGGCGAGCTGTAAGAATCGAAAAGGGTAAGAAATTTAATTGTTATACACATTCAT